ACTTGAGTGACATGTAAACTTAATCGAAACCACTTATGTAACAGGGTGGCCCATTACATGATATGCTATACACGGCTTTGGTATCGGACCTGACAATGTATGAAATTCCTTATGGCACAAGGCTCGGACGCGTATAAAGCAAGCCTCGAGAGCGATATGCAATACGAAACGACCCCTGTATGGCAGGTACAAATCCAAATGGCGTCGGCTTTTCCAAAATGAGTTGTGTCTATCGCGGATGAATTAGTTAAGCCTCCTTCATTCAAATTTGGGCATTACACCTAAAACGAGAAAGAAGGAGAAAACGTTTTTCTATCTTTGTGGGGTAGAGATAGCTCACATGTCGGGTGGGATCCAGACTAAGAGTTAGCGGGTCGTGGTGGCGATTAACAAGCTCTCTGGTGAAGAAAGGGAGCGAGCATAGTCGTGCAGTGCGTTCATTGGTGACACCTTCTTCACATAGTAAAATTTAATCGGCAGCGTATTCGCACTTTTGTGCCTCCTTACTAGGTATATTGCATGCGGTCACGCTCCTTATCTACCCGTCAATAAAAATAAGTTGTCATACTATGTATAAGGGTTGAAGACACTTAAGGCAACTGTGGTAAAGCGAACTTTCTAGATAGGGTAGACTCAAGGAGGGATGGACCAGAGGGACAGGGGCCTCGCGATCGGAAAGGGACTGGAGGCCAAGGAGCCACAGAGGAGAAGCGGCCGTTGGGATCCAGACGTTGAGAGCGGCACCAATGCGGATCGTTCTCAACCACTCGTCGGTCGACCGGGCCACTCGTCGGTAGGTACGGCCGACCAAGGCGGCCTCGGTCAACCAAGGCGGTCTCTGTCACCCATCGGCCGACCTGGTCACCTTTTGGTGGGCACGGCCGATCAAGGCGACCTCGGTCACCCAAGGGCCGACCTGGTCATTCTTTGGTGGGTACGGCCGATCAAGGCGACCTCGGTCACCCAAGGGCCGACCTGGTCATCCATCGGCCGACCCGGACTATCAAGATCAAGCGTCCCTGACCACTCATCATAGTGAGTCCAGGCGTAAGGCAAGTACAGAGTAAAGGAGTTTAAAGGATAGGACATTATCAAAGACTACTCAATTTGCGATCTAAGCCACACGTCTCGTGAGCCAAGAAGATTGTAAGTCTACCAACCTGTTCCGGGCCAGGGATCTATTTGGCCCACCCGTTGAATAGACAGTGCTGGTAAGACTCAAGTGCAAATAGAACCCCAGGGAGTATATTGGCCTGTTGGTTCGTGGATTAGCACCCCACAACTCAATTTCACTATAGGAAGCGGTCTCCATACCCTAGTGGTAAGGGAGAGGATACATAAAGGCCAGGCGGTGGACACCCCTGAGACACATAAAGGCCAGGCGGTTAACACCCCTGAGACAAGCAAAGGCCAGGCGCTACTAGCCCTGAAAACTCTGGTTATAAGTCCACTTTCAACCAAGTTGACCGAGTGGCTGCCCTAACTGGACCTTGACTGAAGCATATCCACTCGGGCCCCCCCAAGGTCGACACACACCAAGACCGACATCTAACTCCATCGCCACGTCCTCCGAAGAGTGATACCCGCCAAGCCGACGGGTACACAAGGTGAGTTTAAGATCCAAGCGGAATAGGAGTACCCCCTCCTCAAGTCGGCAGTCCGGCACAGTGGGCGGTTTGGAGTCACACCAATCGATTTTGGCGACCCACTCCACCACACAACTATGCAGATCGACCCTCTCCCAAGGGTAGTTCATGTTACGAGGTTTATGGAAGGTCTTCGTCTTGGGCCAGCCAGACCTGAAGGTGCTTCGTGGACACTCAACTACCTTGGACGAAGGTGTCGACGAGCTCTCAATGCGAATTATATCTTTAAAATCGCTAATCTTGGTTAGCATAGGTATAACCTAAGCTCTATCCGAGCGGGCTTCATGATCACGTCAGCGTCCTCCCAGCCTGATCCTATGAATCTTAGCAATGCTGAGGGTGACAGTGAACATCAAGACGAGCTTTAAGTTGCTAAACAACAAGTTTTTATTTGTCGTTGCTAAACGTGCAGAAGCACTAATCATTTACGTCCCGGATCTCGATTGCGCAAGCAGCCATAGGCCCACATGGGCTTTACTGATGAGACAACTACTGTATCGCCAGAATTAAGTGACGGTTCCACATAAGTTGAATCAGATTCGGATCGAAGGCCGTCAGTATTGAGACATCGATCCGACATCGAGGACATGCAGATTCCATGGAAACGTGGTACTTCCTGAAAAGAAGGTAGCAAGAATACTAAAAGTTTCTGATAAGTGGAACCTGACGATCAGCCTTGCAGAACATTTCTGGGAACGTCATAAAGTGGATGCTTGAGGACATCAAGATTCGTTAGCAGGAATGGAAGCTCATTTGAATAATCTCGGAGCTCTAGTGAATATCTCATGACCGCATACTCTACTTGCGATGAAGTACTTTATAAGAAGCCCAGATTACTACAGCAGCTCATTTATAGATTTTTCAATCTACGAATCGGTGATATACGAGTTGCGGGAAGCAAAAATGTATGCATTCCGCCATTTTAACAAATCGAATGGATCGGTCTGACAAGTAAACACAGACCTGAGCCTCGGGACAGCCGATGGATATACCCGCATTGTAGACCACGTACGAGATACCGGGAGCGATGTAGAAAGCGAAGGCAGATATCAATGGAAAAAGGCCACGATCGCATTTCCAATGCTGCAAGTGAAGCTCTCCCGAGATCCGGACCTCGAACACTTGTTTCCAGAGCGACCTCCGGTGATCGTGGTATATGCAAGCAAGTGAGCATATTTTTGCAGCTTTGTTACAAAGTTACGATGATGTACATCTACCGGTGACGTTTGCAAGTAGCACGAAGAAAGCCAGTTATACTAACTACAATATGGTGTAGAAAAATGTGCTGGATATCCCCCAGATCCTAGATATATGCTCCGTTATTTTGCTTACGCGAGAGATCAAGGTTTTGAGCCGCTTTTAGAACTTGGCTTTTTTGCCGCAATCGTCCCAATTTAGGGGCGGTTAAAAAAATGGGCAGCATTATTTTCAATGTAGATAATATAGATCTGCAAGTGCGAAAAGGGAGAAGACGAGATCCGAACGACGATGGACGCGAGTATCACACATCGAGAGTAATTATATGAAGTATCAGTCCTGACTATTCCTAAAAGGAATACAGATAGAGCATTGGTTTCTCCACTTCGACAATCGGTAAAAACGAGCGACTGATGGTAGTCAGAATTGACGGTCCCTTTCAGGTATATAAGAAGCGCGGAGCGGATAGTGCTGGTGTATGACAACTCTCAGAGTGAAAGATCGTGGCGGCGGACTCCAAGTACACTTCGGATTTGATTATGTATGAAGCAGAGTATCGAGTGCTGATTTATATCACATCCTGCTGGCAAGTTAGACAAGGTGACGCGTCATCAGTTTGTGGCTTATCAAATTTGGTGATCTAACAAGTTCGAGGCAAAACTGACGGTAAAGCGACAAGCGTACGGTTGTGGCGACACATATCTATAGTAAAATTGCGATCTTAGACAGTTTATATACTCCTACATGTGACAAAGGACGAAACATAAAGTGAGGGTTGCCTTTTAACTAAAACTTTGCAAAAAGTAAAAGTCCGATTGTTGTGACAGGATAATATTGGCAGGTACTCATTATACTACATCGATTGAACACATAGTTAACACCTGTAAGTTTCAGGTGTTTATCATGATGGCAGACGATCATAAATCCGCTGCCCATAGACTTTGAGAGCCGGATTGTTTACAAAAAGAAGCAGTCTAGCGACCCTGGATCGAGCGTAAAAATTAGAAACAAGACAAAGAAAAAATATATTACAACACAGAGATACATATGACAAAGGGACTGACCAGGGTGAGCGCGCCGAAGATGAAGATGACTGCTCAAATTGCACACAGTACAAGTTGGATTCCGATAAGATTATTCGTCTTCTGAACCCGCTCCACCCCAACGGATGCTCCTTCGAAAATGACGCGACAGGTGATACCTGAGCTATCACAAAACGATTCCCAACACCATTTCCATACCAGTGTGCGGGGTACACGGAAAAATAGACCGAAAATTCCAGCAAATCACGGCTTTTAACTAACGGACAGATATCTACTAAAGTGTAAAGAAGTACATACATAAATGGGAAATATAAGAAACATTGAAAGGAGCTCTTATGGAATGTAGATTAACTACTATGATTGTTGAGGCTTCATAACGCGTTCAGATGATGGCTTTGAAATACATTCGCTTTCGACATCGACTATCGAAGGTTTGTAAAAAACTGTTTCTGTGCGTGGATGGAGTAGCCGGGTACGTAATTACTTAGGCAAGCAGATCTCTATCCTCTTCAACTGTCGCTAGAGCCTATTGATAAATTTCGTACAGGTCATCGAATATGCTGTTCACGGTATGGTCAACTATTCGATACCGCCTGCGCGTCATAGGCCTTCAACCAGGACTGGAGGCCAGGGTGCAGAAGGCGTTTATGAACGTGAAACGCTTGCTTCATAAGCGTTGTCCACACATCTACATTGGCCACCGTCTCTGGCACACTCCAAGGGAAACGGTGACGTCTTTCACTTGGTATATGTATGTGCGATCGTTTCCCTAATGTAACAGTATGGGGTTTTTGGCTTGATTTAATAACAGGCGAGAAGTGCGAGGAAACATGGAAGGTGTATGGAAGTTTGTATGGGGGTGATGGGTCATGTGGGTGGTTGAACATGCTGCTTCATGTCACACATGGTAGTGGTGCATGTGTGTGCACGGTTGGTGGCGTCTTTGTGTGTATGGGGGTTTATATTACATGGCGTAATTTAGTATGGAATTTACATTAGCGCTGGAAACGTGTGTATGAATATGGAGTGTGTAGCTAACTGCACCAAGGTGTCACGTGTGTGTGAAGCTCTGGACCAAGAACGTGCCAGAAGCTCGGAGTCACGGTTGGCGCAGATGCAAGCTCAGGTGGAAGCTGCGTGTAATAGAGAGCGCTACGAAGCGTCAGAGGAACGATGCGCCAACGCCGAGAACGAGCTCGCACGTCTGCGGTCGAAGACGGATCAGTTGAGCTCACTGATGTTGCAGCATCAGCACATGCTCTCGAAAAGCGAGGCAAAGCTGGAATCTGCAGCGTTGCGCGTACAGAGTCTCACAGTCGAAAGAGACTCGGCTGTCCGTGAGGTTGACTTCTTGCGCAAGAATGAGGAGAAGATCCAGCAAGAGCTGATCACGGTGCGCTTGGACAATACGAATTTGCTAAAACTCATGGAGTCGACGCGTCGCATGGAAAGTGGGCGCGAGGAGCGTGACCGCCGTGAAGTGGAGATTTTGTCAAAGAAAGTGACGACACTCGAGACGAAACTGCAAGATGCATACGAAAAGCTTGATGCGAAGGAAGCCACTTGCGGAGCGCAAGTTCTGGCTGTTGAGAGGGAAAAGCAAGCAGCAGTGAGTGAACTAACGAAGCTTAAGGAGGCCCATGGTCAATTGAAAGAACAGTTTGCGCGGCTTAAAGAGCAGAAAAAAGCTTTAGACGATAAGTTCGCTTTGCTGGAAAAGGAGGCCGCACACATGCGTGAGCAGCTACGAAAGGGGGCAAGTGTCGCAGCTGCTGAACGCGTGGCAGCGTTGGAGGTCCAACTACGCGACGCTCAGCGCGAAGTGCAAGCGTCGCTTGTGTCACGAAAGACGCTTACCAAAAGCTTGACAAAGTACAAGGTTTTGGCTGAAGCGAGTGAAAAGAGTCTGGCGGAGTTGTCAAGCGCGAGTGAGAAATGGAAACAAAGCGAAGCCGAGAAGATGCAAGAGCTTGAGAAGTCCCGTGCTCAATTGAAAGAAGATCTGGTAAAGGCACGTGTGGACTTGAAGGAGCATGTCATCGAGAACAACAGCTTGCGGGAAGAGATCGATCGAGCCGAGAAAACGCACAAGCAATCGGTTACACCCACAGCAAACGTCAGCTCTACTAGTGTCTTGCTACTTTGCTCGCTTCGAAACGTTCTCCTCTTCTTGCATGCGAAAACCATAGCGAGCTAGCACGAGCCTACCTCGCCTGATCGACGATAGAGTTGTGCTCATTCAACGCGTCTGCATCTCGTCGTGAAAGTCCGCCTCGCAAGCAGAGGTCTGCACACGTGCTGGGTGCTTGCATCCTCGCCTCGAAAGCACGTAAGGCCTCACATGTATAGCAGATACTAATGAGTCGTACCTCCTCTAGTCCATGCGCCTCTTCAACCAGTATCAGCGTCTTGGTAAGCACGCGTTGGCTCTTGTTGTAGCAGAAGAGGATCCCGTCGAAGCGCATTAGCGCAGATCCCGTACCATCCACGAGCCAGAGAGTCCCGCCGAAGACTCGGCAGCACGCCGCATCATAATGGTACATTACCTGTACATCCTGTTTCATTGACAATACCACGACCTGTTGAACGGCAGCTACACGACACAACGTCTTGAGACTCGCGTTTGCCTAACCGACACATGAGATCGAGTGGAAAAGCAGCAAACGGGTCGTACAACGCGTGTGCAAAGTTCAATACAGACCCGCGACTGCCTCATCTCCACCAGCAGCCATTCACACTGGTTGATCCGCACGCCGCAAGTCCTGTCGGAGCTGCTCAGGCGCTGGTCGACGTCCACACTTGTGCTTCCCCTCGTTGTTGTTGTTGTTGTTGTTGTTGTCCATTGTGGCTTTTCGATGAGTTTGAAGCAGCGCTAAGGTAGATGGCTACACACACACAGGTATACGAAAAGGTGCAGGTGGCTGTGTAGATGCGGGTGTGCACCACACCAAGTGCCACGACAAACGAGCTCCAGTGGTCGCCGACTCTTGACATGGCACGTTCGAAGCGCGTCTTTGTGTTTGGCGCAGCGCTAGTGGTGGCGCTCCTGGCGCTGCTTTGGCCGCAGATCGAGCAATACCTCGTCACTAGTGGATACAAATGTCCGTATCCTTTTTCGGCGCTACTACGCGACAAGAGCGCGGAGAACGAGGCGGTAGCACACGCAGAGGGGCTGCCGACGTATACGTTGGACCAGCTTCGTCTGTAAGTACATACAACTTGCTTGTAGTATACCACCTGCATGAACACGAACGTACCTGGATGCTGGTGACATACATTGTATACATATACGAACGTACTCTGATGTGGATCGGATGCGTGTGCATGTATACTAAACTACCTAGACGCTGACACTGCTACTGCGGTTACTTTTGCTGCTGCTGCTGCTGCGGATGCAATGTGCAGGTATGACGGATCGGACAGCGACAAGCCTCTGCTGCTTGCAGTTGGTGGCAAGGTACGCCGTGGCGAGCGAGACGGGACAAGAAGCAGCCCGTTGATATATTGTCGTTGTTTGCTGCTGCCACAGGTTGTTGACGTGACGTCCGGAGCAAATTTCTATGCCAAGGGACAGTCGTACAACATTTTTGCTGGAAAGGTACAGCTGAGACGGGATAGGCAATGCCAATGCAGTGCATCGGCATTGCGCACGACCTCGATCTCATGCAGCTTCTTGTGTGTTTGTTTATGATCTGTTGCCTATCTGTCTGCGTGCCTTGCAGGCTTGTACGCGTGCTCTAGCACTAGGGTCACTGAAGCCGGACGTAAGGAGAGTGCTCTTTGCGGGCAAACAGACAGTGTCGAGCTTGGATCGACTGACCACGCGTCTGTGAGTGTTCTTGCGACTGTATAGGACCTAAACGACGACGTCTCGGACTTTAACGAGAATCAGAAACAGGAACTTGCTGTGACGAAGGCGTTCTACTACAAAAAGTATCCCATCGTACGTGTCCCGGTCATTGGCTAGTGATGGTGTTGTATGTCCACGTTGCGGTTTAAACAAGACTTGGCGCTGTCTGTTTAGGTTGGAGAACTGGCCTGATAGCGGACGCGCTCCCGCGAGGCGCTGCACTGCACGCTAGAAACTGTGATGGTACCCGGCCAAGGCGTACGCGTCTACAGCAGAGTCAATACACGTGGCCCCGCCGGAAGTCCTCGCTCGTCATGAGGTCGGACATGCATCGATATCGATGTCTGGCTGAACAATCGCCAACTTGTACTGCATCATTGCCTCCGACTTTGTTATGTATACCTGGTGGACACACATAGGTCATGAGCGTAAGAAGGAGAAAGCGATCGTGACGAATGGATTCAGACACAAGGAGCAGATGATGCCGCGTACTTACCACGTCTTCATGACACGTCTATGCGTCGAAACGTCCACTTTAGTCAATCTTGTGCAATGATAGTAATCCGTTATTGAAGAGAACCAGAATAATTGTCTATTTTTTTAAACGCTTAACAAGATCGTTGGACTGATACAGCGAGCTAAGCTGAAATTAGAACCGCAGGTAAATGGAACGGCTAAAAGGATTGTGCAAACTTTGACGAAAGCACTATTGATGTATCTCACGGATAAAAACTAAAGAGAGTGGTACGAGTACGCAGAAAAGATATCATTTGCGATGCCTACCGCTAAAGACCGAGCTCATGGCGACGTATACTTTTCTCTTTTACACACAGTTTTTTTATGATCTACCCTAGTAGCGGCCCTGCCTCTTCGAAGCACTAATTACCAGATTTGGATCAAAGCACATAACGTTCTATCATACAAAGGCATTATTGAGCGCTTGAGCTGCGGTGCACGGGCGTCTATTGGTTTAATTTTATGATCAGACCGACCGACAAAACGCAAGTCTTTATCCTACTGGTATAGAGGTTGTTAATTAAGTGTATTTGTATCCGAAATAGATGAAGAAGAGGTACGCTCAAAAGATAGCGCATACGTGGCATGTGCCTTTTCGATACATATATTGTATGGGAAGTGCGCAATACTATTGGAGATCACCGGCAAACCTTACAGGCTGTTTACGGTAGTGCATGTGTGGAGAAGCGCGAAGGAAGAATGACGGAAGTGTGGATCGCGCGATCCGCCTTAAGTGCGAAACTTAATTTGATTGGTGGAGCGCGTACGGAGATGGGTCCGTTAGCACGAATGATGGTGTCACACGACTGAGTGACAGGAAATGACTGTGAAAATTATGCATAGTGACCCACCTAACGGTCAATAAGGAGTATAGTCAAGGATAGAAGATTGACCGATCGCGATCTGCGATCGAAGTTTTGGATCATTAAGGTACTCTGCGATCCGGCACTCTGCGATCCAGTACTGTGCGATCCGGTATGAGGCGATCCACTACGGAGTATCTGATGTGGACCACATGAGGTAAGAGATGAATGACATAGACAGGCGGTGCACAACAGTTGACCTAGCGAACAGATAGGCATAGTCATATGGTTCGGATTTGGTTGATTGATATGCAACAAATTGAATTTGCAACGAAAGACACGCGTTGACTTCTCCCGGGCAGGATCTTTGGCCCCCCGTTGAATAGAGAGTCACCCACGTCTCAGCGAACTTTGCCCTTGAATTGTTTGGCCAGGCGGAAAGTCAATTCTCACCCCCCATCAACTGCGATAGGACGCAATGAACCCTACAATTCAGATTCAAGATCGCGAGACGGCTCAAGTGGTCAGAAGGCTCGCGTATCAAGCATCACCCCTGGCAAATACGACTTTGGGAAAGCGCCCAAGTTAACTTGCGACCGATAAAGAACTTCCACGCGATCCGCACCTACATTTGACCGGGTGAAGCATTTCCACCCGATCAAGACCTATCCCTAAGACGGTCAAGTTCAGTTTCAGCTTAAGTCCACCAAGAAGAGCGCAACCCGCCCCACTGACGGGTACACAAGGTGAGCAAGAACATACAGAACACGTAATCGGGGTACCGCCTCCGTTAGTCGGTCGTCCGGGCGCCAGTGGAGAGTCGGGATCACAAGGAAATTTAGATCACCACTCCACCACTTGTGCATCGAAGTTGAAACGAGTGAGAATCTTCCTGATCGCCGACTTATACATTGAAAGAAATGAAAGCGGTTTGAGTCGGTACTGATATAGGGGATCTACTAGAATATGTCTGGGAGACTGAAATGGAAGATAACGAATTCGAATTTTAGAAGATCGCCGAGGTAAGATACGGTCAAAAGACATGTGTCGAACAAGTGCATCGACAATTTTTTATCGATTGGAAAGAATACATTAATTTGGTTATGTCAAGGAGAAGGATCTAAATGGTGGCGCTGTATTTATTGACATTGATCGCGGTCGTGCCAATAGAAACCAATTTGAGGCGATGCAATCCTACGAGGAAGTATTGCAGGTCCAGTGGACTGAGGGTATGTTAAAGGAAATGACAAAATGGACAGCGTGGCTACGCAGAAAATGCTAGAAGGCTAATTTGTTTGATGATTATGGCAACTAGGGAACATCGAGATACGAATCGCGACCAAAAGCCCATAAAAAGAAGACAAATTTATAACATGACAGCAAATGATATCAAGAAATTGTAACAAATTGATCAAATGAAGTCCTATAAAGGTCACCGCCGGATTTTTTTCCCGGTAGGTGTGGGATCAGAGATCTAGGATGCTGGGATAACGATTTACGAAATTGGATGCGCAAAAATGGGCGGTAATCATCACTTACAACGCTTAGGGCATTTTTTAGAATGTTAAGGCGCTCGCAACCAAGACCGATGCCCAATTGCGCTACCCCTCGCTGTTGAGAGGTATAAGTATACAGGATATAGCAAGATGTAGATTTCGCACTGCCCGGAGATCACCCCCTGCAATATGACAAAAATCGCTTTCTAGCGGGGCTTATCTTGAATTAACTGTTCTTGAGCTGACGGAAATATTGTGACAGATCGATTTCCCGATGTCGCAGGTCAGGTATGGGAAGTAATGGACAACAAGTGCGTGGTCTTTCACAATGCCTACGCGTCGCAATCCACACAAAATTGGAGTATATTTAGCAGAGTACGGAAGCTTACGACCGACTTCTTGAGATTGATTTGACCAAATTAAATCGGATCGACCAGGGGTTTAGACGTATTGGGACGTAATCTGCGCCTAGGTGACCAAGCGAGGTATTCAGTAGGTGGCATCTGGTGTGGACCTCGGAGACACATTTTTT